TATGATATGGAGGGATATTACAGGTGATATCTGTTTCCTGTATCTTACAGTTAAGATTTTGAGAGTATAATATCCAATGTGAGTCAGTTCTTTTCTCTAATGTATCTCCTATTGATGGACATAACAGGGAGCTCAGGGGATGGAAGGACTTCTGGAAGTTCCAGCACAGAAAACTTTTTTACCCTAAAATGGCTGATAGAGCTATAATTACCAGTGCAACAGAGCAATGGTATAGTTGAATAGAAGGACATCTGTGCAACGCTTTCTACAGAAAGTAGTTCAGAATAAAAACTCAAACACTCAAGCTTGTTAGAAATAGAGTCCTATAATCATGGTAAATACTGGAAAAAGGTACTACTGCAAAATAACTAGTAGGTATATGGAAAGATGCAGTACCGAGTAGGAAGATTTCAATTGCTAGAATGGTTCAGGGGCATACATACAGGATACTTGCAAAGTGAGAATATAATAGGTAAAGATTTGAAGATACAGTTGCAGGGAATGATAGCAGTAACCATGAATAATTTGTCTGATATCATCACTTACACTACTCGATTGATTTTTCAAGCTTATCCTGTAGGTATACATCCAGTATGACAGGAGTGACTGGTTATGGACACACCTACGTATCCAAATACCTGGCAAGTCTGACATACTTTATGGAAGGTGAAGACAATGGCAGGCCTGGCCCTACCATGTTGCAGATATATTCTCACTAGTAAGAGAAACATTGAGGTGATCCCTCTTGCTTCATATGTGAGATCGGACAAAAGAAAAGGTTTTCAGTGCTGTATGTTAAAGCGTGGCTGAAACTACCTGGAATCACAAATTCTGGTAGGCCTCTATCCCAGAAATAGTAAAGAAAAAATTAAGGAGCATCTCTGCAAAAGTTGATCCAGGTTGATACAAGCAAGTATCACGGGCACTGACAGTCAAAGGAAATGATGTATCACGCCAAAGAAAAATATTGTCTAGCTCTCAGATGATATAGCCCAAGAACTGTGCAGATTCCTAGAAGTTTTGTGTGTTTTACAAAGATGAAGCTATTCTCTAGAGTGAAGACTGTTTGAATAGAAACATGGTGGAAGATCCATTAGAATAGCTTACTATCAGTCGAAAAACAGAAGTTCAAGCCTCCTTGGACACGTGAGCTGAAAGCCACCTCCATTTAACTTATCCATAACTGGGTAGCAGGTTGTATGAACTGGAGAAATAAGGCTGAATGGACATGGTCCTGTTTGCCTTAATCATACTGTTTCAATAGCTTGGTATTGAAATGTGCTTTAATCATACTAGTTCAATAGTCTTCCGAAGTTCTGACAGTCCTTTGACTTGCTTGTTCAGTGGTGAGTATAAAGGTTTCGTCAGGAATATACTCCTATGTGTATGTGTGTTGCTGGGTGAGGGCAAACAGTGGTATGCTAGTGACAGAAACCATTCAGATTGGTGGTAGCATTTGAATTTGGTACTGGGGCCTATGGCTCACAGCTGCAATTAGAATGACAATGCATTTATACACAGTGATATGGTACAACTTCTCTTTCTTTCTATAACTATATACTAGAATTATGATTAAATCAGTTTCTCATAACCCATGTACCAAAGGCTAAGTATAGTGTTAAGTATGGTGCCCTAAAGGCATGCCACTTTACTCACAGAGAAACACAGAATAATTCAGGTTGGAAGGGACCTTAGGCAGTGTCTTGTCCCACTTTCTGCCCAGAGCAGGGACAGCCTTCAACTCAGACCAGGTTGCTCAGGGCTTTGCCCAGTCAGGTCTTGCAGACCTCTAACATGCTTTCACAGGCTGTTGTTCTACAGGAACCCAGTTTCATTCAGTGCCTCGGATGGATAGTGAAATGAGGGAAGGGTGGTGAGAGGAATGATACTTCTATATTTGAGGCATAGGACCAGAACACAGGATCCTTGGCTCTGACACACTTTCTCTGTGATCCTAAGTAAACTGGATAACAGTATGTATGTATAAAGCAGCTCCAGTTAATGCTGCACAGACAACCTTAGTTCATACTGCGCAGGCAACCTGCATTCTGTTATTTCTTAAATTTGCTAGGGATCAGTTTTCCAGTCTGTATTTTTTTTTTTATAATAATATATCTTTTTGTCCTCTAGGATCCCAAAGTGCTTCTCAAGTTATGCATATAACTGGCCAAAGCCTGCTCCTATTGAGGCCAATACACATTTTGCCATTGATTTCATTTGGGCTAGGATTTGGCTGTGTAGAAATACAAGCAATTCTGTATGTCCGTAGGCCTTTAATAAATTCTGGTTTCCCACCTAAGCAATAAATCTGCCAGCAGGAGAGGAGTAAAAACTTTGGTGTCACTTACTGAACAACTAAAAGTTTCAATTTAAACTTCATAAGATATCAGTAGGCATAGTGACAGTTGCTGTACAAATTTCAATAGCATAATTTAGAGCTGGGAGAAGGATAACACACTATATGGTGTGTGTGGGTGTGAGTGTGTATGTATAATCCATGTGCACACAGCAACTGCATACATACATTTTTAAATCCCTTAACAGAAGGTCAGCTCTAGTTAGTTGCATCATCTAAAATTCTGGAACTTTTTTGCTGTCCTACGTTTGCAAAAGTTTTTCATTTAGGAACACACACGTTTGTTGTCAATGTTATTTCTACAGTCACTTAGCTGAGAGCAGGGCATATTGTTCTCTGAATTTCTTGTTAAAATATTTCACTTAATTAAACTTTTACAACCAGTTCTGCTCTATGTCTGATACTTGCTGTAAATTACAAAGAAAAGCCCCTCTGGCATTTATGAGAATTCAGACGATGAAGACTATAGAAAAAAAAATGAAACAATGTCATTGAGTCCCAGATAGCTGCTCATTCCCCGTTATCTCCCACACAATTCAATTTAATGAAATATATTATTTCTTATTCGATAAACTAGACTGAAAAAGAGGCCAAAACCGAACTACCAATATTTTAAATAATTATGTTGCTGAAGTTTCACAAATGAATTGCAGCATAATTTGACTAACTGTGGTTTAGTCTACATGTCTGTAACACATTACATGGAAAAATTTGGTTAAAATTTGGTAGAATCTTAAAGAAAATCAGGAAAAGACATGGAATTTAAAGTTACACTGAGTTGTACGCTTTTGTGGGGCACACATATTGTACATGTGCAAAATATACCCCTTCCTATGTCAAAACATTACAAGATTTTCCAAAGGGTGCTTGAGATGACATCTCTGACGTGGGGATTTAACAGCAGTAAAATTACAGCAAATTTATTTTTTTGAGAGCAATGTTGTGCTTCCAGGCGCTCCCCAAACCAGCTCTGGAATGACTGCAAAATGGCTGTCACATCGATTACATAATTGAGAATTTTAATCCAATTGGCGGCAATGCTGTTACGAGACTTGGAAATTTCCTCTAACCACAGTTTAGTGTGCAAACTATTGTGTTCGCTCTCGGGAAGCTTCACTTTTGCCAAGGAGAGCCAGTATTTATGCTACTTGGCATATTTATTATTCAGTTAACCCATTCCTTCTTCAGAATTTATAACCCTCCCAAGAGTTATGGATGATGGACAGAAAAAAAATAGCTATGAGGGGGAAAACAAAAGAAAACAAAACTTTAAATCTCTTTCTTCTCCCATAACTTTTATAATTTTTTCTATTGTCCTTTGTTTCACAGGGCTATTTGTCACGATGGAGAGAAGCAAGACCCGGACCGTATCTGAGAAATCTGGTTATGTTTAAACATTTGTGAAGTTCATGGAAATGAGCTGTGCAATCTGACATCAAATAAAGATCAGATGAGCCATAGGCTTGAGTCCCCTTGTGAATGAAAGTGAAAGGGCTCTGCAGCCAACGTCTTAATTTACTCAGATACTCAGTAGAACATGTAAAAAGGGATTTTTATATCTCTGGTTCCTGGGCAGGGTGACACATGCAGATTAGTTCTTTCAGAATGAAAAAAAAAAAAAAAACAACAACTTTTTTTTTACAGTTCACAGGGGACTAATCCATCTCTTTATCTGAGAACTATTGCTCTACTGAAAGCCCTGACAACTCTGGATCTAAAGAGAGAACTGATTTTACTGTACTCTCTAAGAGATGCCCACTCCCTCCCAACAGCTAGACAGATGTGGGAATATTACTGTGCTTGACTGATACTGGGTTTTGGGGTTAATTTTGTTTATCAGAAAAAAATCATTCTTGGCAGACTTTCTCCAGTAATAATACTATCTGACAATAGGCATGTCAAAGTTGTATAGCCCAACTTGCGCCAAGTTCTTGCTAGAATCAAAACAAGTTTGCTCTGGAATTGGGAGCATTATTGCTGCATAAGCTTAATGTAGCATTGGGGTCTCCTGCTTCCAGGAGCTGAGCCAGTGTCTTTGTATGGTGCCGCTCTGTGCTTGAATAGGTATCTGCTTCCACAAAATTTACTCAGGTATTTGTAAACTGATGCTCCATTGCTTCACATAGCTAGTCATACAGTCATGAGAAGAAACCAGACTCTAAAAGGTCATGTTTGCACACAAACAGATGAGAGGATAATCACTGTTTACCCATTAACGAACAAGCAAAAATCATATTCCAGAGTGAACTGATTGTATCAAAACAGACGGGTACACAAAATTTCTTGTGTTGTTTGTTAAAGAGTTTATTGTAAAAGAGGCAACATTATTTCAGCCTCACCAGGCCTTTTTCAAGGAATATCTATATAGTATTCCAGCAGCTGAAAACAAACGTGAACAGGTCCCCACATTTTACGCTCAAAAGGAGTCCTATTTTGTGAGTGAATTCTGAAATATTATTTAAATTAAGCTTTAAATTTGAGAATTCATTTAAATGAGGTCTAGGCTGTAGCCTAGGGGACTGAGGGGAAAACTCATTTTGACTCCCATCATATTCAATGGTGTCAGTGAACCTTTGACAATTAACTAAACCTGTGATAATTAAAAGTCAGACAATTTGATGTGAAACCAGAAATATCACTGAAAAACAGTTGAGAAAATCCTCTATTTCAGAATCATAAATTAGCCAGGAGGAAACAAAGAGTCCATCTAAAATTCTTGGCACAGTTTTCTGAAAACTGAGGCATGTGTAGATTTTTCAGTTTTTAACAGAACATTGTTGTTATTATTATCTGTAATTTTCCAAGAGTTGTATTTCCATACAGTGATATTCTTTTTCACTTTTTGAGTTATTTCCAGAATTCTTTCTTCTATCTTCATTTTTTGTGCACTTTCTTCTCTTCTTTTTCTCCCAAACTTATCTATGAAGGTACTTCTATCCGGGGAAATAGCTGTGTTTCCAAGTTACTCTTCACCTGGCTTATGAATGTGACCTTTATCTAAAAACCTGCTTATACTGTGTATTCCATAGCTTTGGTGACTATTTACAATATGTATTGCACGTTATTCGCTTGATCCAACAAACAGTGAAATCAATGCAAAGACTTCCCTTGACCTTAACAATTGTTGGATTAAGCTGTACGGTCCAAGTAAAACTACCTGTAATGAATGACACAAAAATGTAATAAAGAATTCATTTATTGGCTTATTAAGCTTATTAAAATAACCTACTGTAGATTATTCAGTTTTCATTTACAAACTCAGATTCAAACAGTATCTACCTGAAGTTCCAATATGTTGATTGCTGTTATCTTTAAATACATTGTGGTACAAACTCATTATTTCTCCTCTTCTCCATGTCCGTTCAGGTCTTCATGTGCTTCTGTATTTTTTCCACAATCTGCTGAAGACTCATTTGCTCAGTGGCAAGTTGTTCATCAATAAATCTTTGCATTTCTTCCCATTTCCTGGAGCCTTGCTCAATGCCTTGCTGAATCAGTGCGCGTGTTAGTTCCACTTTTTTTCTGAGTTCCTCTTTGCTTTTTTGGGGCACTTGATAAATGGACTCCAGATCAAATGGTTTTGGCACATCTATTCTAAGCTCTCCTTGACGAACCGCTATATATGGTTTTACGCTGTTGGCTGTTATTTGCTCCAACCAACGAAGAAGCTCTGAGATATATTGCAGGACTGCAGAGTAATTTTCTATAGTTAGATCAATTAATTTTTTGGCCTCACTAATTAGCTTTTCTTGGGAATGACTAAGTTGCACATAGATCTCCTGAAGTTTTGCTTTGACTTGCCTGTTATGTTCGTCAATTTTCCTTTTAGCAGCTGTAGACCAATATCGGATTTTTTCCTGGGCAGCAGATGAGAGCTCCATGATCTTCTGTTTTCCTTTTCCTTCAGCATCAGTAATAAGGTCGTAATATTCCTGACTGTAGTTTTCCACTACTTCTCTTACTTGGTCTGTCAGGTGTGTAACTGAGTCAGCAAGATCTCCAACATACTTCTGCCAACCCACCAGTGTATCTATTAGATTCTTTAGCCATCCTAGTACTTTGTCTTCCACTTCATAGTATTTAATTGACCATCCAAGTGTAGTTGGATCAAAATATTCCTCCCGCAGTGCCTTTATGTAGAGGAGCAGCTGCTGCAACTTTTCTGAAAGCTCCTGGAATGTCTTCTGGCTAAAAACTTTCAACTGAGAAATGTATTTTTTAACATCTTCAGCCAAAGATCTCAGTTTTTGTGCATAGTCTGAAGCCATGGCGTCTTTGTACAGCTGTTGTGTTTGGACTTTGAGGTCTTCAAAATTTTTGGATTGCAAGCTTCTAATCATGTCTTCTGCCTTCTGGAAAATTTGTTGCACTCTTTGTTTCAGTTGCTTAAGCTTTCCTGCAAAGCCAGCTTCCTGGAGAGTAGCAAATGTCTGCCTGATTTTTTCCTGCAGATGTTTCAACATTTCTTTAATTTGATCAAGTACATTACGGCCTTTGAGGATTATTTCAGAAGAAGGAACTTTGACTTGCAGCTCATTGATAGCTGCAATTAAGGCATCAAAGTACTCCTGAAGTTTTGAAAGGCATAAATCAACAGTTTTCGCCACCTTCTCTGTAGTCATAAGGTATAATTCTTCACCAGTGTACTTTTCAGACAGCCCAGGGACCTGGAATTTTGTAATCTTCAGGAATTCAATGGCTGAGTCAATTAAGTGTTTTATCCTTTTGTGGTATTCTTCTATTATGTCAATTGTAGCATCCAAAAGCTTTGTTTTTATTCTTTGATAGTCAAACTGCTCAGCTTGATCTGCTGCTTTTTGATATAACTGTTTAGCTTTGACCTTCATCTCTTGATACTTGTCAGAGGCCTCACTGGCAGCTGTGCGAAGCTGAGCATCTATTGCATCTATTTGTTTTACAGCGAATGTGTATGCTTTGTCAGCATTATTCTGCATGATATTCTTCATCTTTAAGGTGGCAGCACTGATTTCCAGTCCCATATGCTCCTTATGGTACCGATTAACACAGCTATAGACTGCACTTGTCATTCTAGGTACCTTTTCTTTTAGACCCAAGAGCAAGTCTCTGGCAGCATCCTCTTTCCAGTTGAATTTGATCTGAATCAGGTCAGGTTTCTTGAAGGATATCTCACTTTTTAATATGTCAATGTCCTTTTGAGGGGCAGACTGAAAATATAAAATGGGATAATCAAATTCAGCATTATCTGTAACGCGTGTATTTCAATATTTGTATTTTGCATTCCCTTAATTTTATTATACACTCTGACATATACCCTATGAATCACTTTTGTCTACTGCATATTTGCTCCCATACTGAAAGGTTATTTTGGAATAAATACTATTGTATCAAGCCGTTTTGTACCTTTTTGAACAGTAGGATCAGTACATAACTTAGTCTGTTCTTTTTTTTTGTTTGAATGCAAAGATTTTTTCCTCCTTTGCATTAAAGGCCTATGATGTCTGATAAGGTACGTGAATTACTTGGGGAAATGACCCTTCCCCTTTCATTCTTGAAATTATTTAATAAGATTTCAATTTAAAAAGCATTTCTTAATATGAGAAATATTACAACATTTAATTTAGTAATCGTTTAAATGAATGAGAATTTAGTGTGAGAGTAATTAAGGTTCCTAAAATTAGAACCTATTTACATACATGAATGTTCCAGTTTTTAATTGTAAACAATGGATTATGAGTTATTCGTGACACCTAAATTAGTATATCATCTTGGAAGGTAAAGCTTTTAATTCTGAAATTATTGCAGCATGCCAATAATAAGAATATCTTCGCCAATAATAAGATTAGCAAATCTAATAAAGGTTTTTCTTATACTGTGCTGTGATATACTAATGGGTCCAAAAAAAGGCAGTTTGTAGATGGTTTGACCTCTTCCAGTGGCTTGATTCCTATAAGGGCCATTTTTATAGTAACTGTAATTATCCTGATGCGTGTATAGTGGCTTATTCAAAACTAGTTTTGTACCGGTTGTTCACTTTCAGTGGGTGTGTTTTCCTTATCATAGGAGAGGGCAAAATTAACTGCATGGAGAAGATGAAATTGCCTCTTCACGGAGATGCTACTTTTAGTACTGACAAGGCCAGTTTAGGAAACAAAAACTGCAATTACTCATAATATACTTTTTCTTTGGACAACAGGTGCTTAAATTATCTCTTAACATAAACATACATACACTTTGAAAGGGAACCTATCCTCTGCCCATTCCCAACCTTTTTGCTTTTTATTGTTCATATCAGGCTCACCCGAGTTCGGTAGTAAAGTTTTGCGTTGAAAATGTCAGTGTCCATTTCAACGAGATAGCCTAAGGTCCCAGCAGAGGGTGAAGATACTGAGGAGGATATCCTGCTGTCAGTGCCTTTATAACGCACATGAACATCAGTAAATGTTGGGCTGGTGATGTCTAGTGATGCAGTGTTGTCCACAATTCTAAAATAACAACAAATACACAGCTATTAGGATTTGTGCTACCTTTGTGCATTCCTTAAAGAAGTACAAAATGCAATATGCCTAAATACAATACAAGTTGTGATTTTTAACATATATATGTAATCAAACAATGCCTTCGTCATCAAAAGAAAATGTAGGGTTTTACTATCCACATTTCTGAGGATCTAGCCTAACCTATTCAAAACTTCAGGTCACTGCAATTTTCCTTTTTAAAGTAAAATTATATTGAGAGCTGTTGAGAATTTTCATTAAATTAGGTTAACAAAATCAAACCTGCAGCTACACCACTGTCAGCTTTCTATGGACTTCTACAAACTGATCTCCATCTCTTCCACCAACAAAAGCATGGGCAGTAACTTGCATCTGCGTTTGCCCTTACTTTCACTGACTTCTGTCCCTTGGATATGTTAATATGACACTTGTAGACCAAAACAGCCCCTCTCTGTAACCTCTAGTACCAGCATTTCTGAAAAAAAATTATTCCTTAATGGCCTGTGCTGATAGAGAGCTCCAGTGAAAACTATGTTGACGGTCAAATCTAGAATCACTCTGACTATAACATTTTTTGTTTATATCTCATCAGTTTTTTGAAATAAGGCTGCTGAGAAAAGTTTTTCTGAAAATGCTGAGGCTAAATGGTTTTCCAGCCTCCACCTGAGGAGAGAAGAAGTCCCAGCTAATAATGACAGGGTAGCTACATAGGTTCTTGTTAATTACAGCAAAGCACTCTGGGGCATTAGAGTTCAAAGAAACAATATAGCATTTGCAATTTTGTCCATGATAAATGATATTATAATCACAAATCTTTACCTAATTCCCCGAGCAGTAAGATCTTCCTTGTAGTTCACACTCATGTCACGATGTGAAAAGCTGCCAACTGTCTTCATAACAAGCATGCCTCCTTCATATTTGTAGTTTGAAACAACTAGAAAAAAGATTTCAGTTGTGCATATTTACAGAATTTATCAGCAAACAATGTTAAATACATGTCCAGCTTTATGTTAGCTGGCCAGTTATGAGATGTTTCAGTGGTACATAAAATTATGCATCAAGAAACTAGATTCCCATAATGTACAAAATAAAAAGACATAGAAATGTTTGTTCAGTCAGAGTATTTTAGTATTCAGTTTTGCACTACATTTAGAGTAACATGGATATAACGTTTTGCATGCAACCATAAATGGATATTCTGATTTCTTGAGAGTTTATAACTTTAGTCTGACATATACTTTTACCGCAATTCTAAAGTCTAGAACTGAATATCATATGCTGCTGTGGGACTCCTGAGTTTTCTGTGTTCAAATAATTTTCAAAATGAAATATACTTAGCTTATAAGGAAAAAGATGGGTATTTCTTTACCTCCAAACTGAATCTAGTGCCAGTCAGTCTGCTTTCTCTCCCTCACATGTACCATCAGAAGTAATGAGGGAGTATTATGATTTCTGTGCAATTTAAAGAAAGAAATAGGTAGACAGAAAAGGGATTTCTTCCATTTTTTTTAGACTATGCTATTAACTATACATATACCTTGCCATTATCCTTCAGGGTGACTAACTGAGACTCTGATTATAACTTTCAAAATAATGCCATTGATTATAAAAGGAAGTTCAATTTAATGTCTGTGCTAAAGAAAGAAAAGCACCTTCATAAGCAAAGTAAGTCCTAGAAAAAAATTCTGAACAAAACACTATACAGTATTTCTCCTAAAATTTGTGTCATTAGAATTTAAGTTGTCTTACCACTCAAATCATATTCCAGGAACTGTAATGTTGAGCTGCAGGTAGAGTCAAGGGATTGTTGAAAGGAGTCCTTTTTATTTGTTAAGCCTGTTCTCCAGGTGACATTGTACAATGGTGAAGCAACTTTGAAAGATCCAGTTAAGGCACCAAATGATGGAATGTAAATTCCAGCAGGCAAGGATATTTTGAGAGAGGGGATCTCAATTTTCTGTTCAGGAATTGTAATTGTAGGCAGATCAAAATCTGCAATCTTATTAGCTACTTCATCCAGATTTATATGTAGATTGCCAAGCGAAATACTTTTTGGAAGAGTGAATTGAGACACAGTTATTTGGTATTCAGGTACTGTCACCTCAAAATATGGGATTTTATATTCTTCTAATGTAACATAATTAGCTCCTACATTCACTCTGGGGAATCTTAGTCTTGGTAGCATGGGTAAATTCACATCAAATGGCATTGTGTTTAGTGTCTGCGGAATTTTTATGTTGCGCAAGTCCATAGTATATGCTGGGACCTGGAGAGTGGTGAAAGGTACTCTAAATTCTGGAGTGCTGAGAACAGGACTTAAAGGCTTTAGGTTTAACTCAGGAATACTGAAAGAAATGCCATCTGTCAGCTTATTCACAGGTATGGGGATAAAGTAGCCATCTTCACTCTTTGTGTACACCAGGGATGCTGAAGCATTTAAGTACTGTCTTCTGTCAGCGCTGGTAGTGACATCCAACTTCAAGATATCCCATAAGCTCTTCTCAGCAATGGGACACTGTAAGTTTTTGAGGAAGTCTAAGTATCCTTCCAAAGACCCAGAAATATCAAACTTTGCTTTTGATTTTTCATTTGATAATTGCATATCATGACTGAGAGATAATGACTGAATTTGGCCTTCACCCTTCCAGCCAACTTTCTGGTTTTCAGTATTGATTTTCATTAAGGCAACTTGATTAAATGAAGCTGTGTCCAGGAAGGAATTTGGCTGAGTAGCTTGTATCTGAAGGTCTGCTGACACACTCCAGGGAGACAGTTCTAAGGTTGCTTTGCACTTCTGAGTCCCTGTAGTTGTGAAAAGAGGTGTATATCGCGCATAGTTTTTCCCACTGTGCTCCCAGACTGCATAGACACGATGGGTAGATGCTTCAATTGCAAGTATTTCTTTCATTTCATTGTTCCAGAGTCCATCTGCTTTGGAGTTGGCTTCAAGCTTGAGAGTTGACCGAGCTCCATTAGCATTCAGATAGGTGTTTGCTTCATGGTCTACATTTCCAGAAAATGAAACTCCAGTGTAGAATACTCCATTGGTATTCCCCTTTGTTGATGTTTCTACTGATATGTAAGATGTAAGGCTTTCTAAAGTAAGTTTGTGAGCAATTCCTCCCTTAGCACTGGTGCCATATTTAGGACTATTAAAATCATACATTAATTTTAGGCCTGATGAAAGAGTGGGTTTGGATTTAGTATTTCCAGAAAGCTCCTGGCTAAAATTCATTTTTAAAATGGGTGTGTTGATATCTGCGTTTGTTGTCAATGAAGCTTCCATGTTCCTTTTTGTGAGACTAATAGTGCTGTCATGATTTCCTCCTAGAAATTTGTTATTACTCAGGGACAATGCTGTGGCCAGTTTCAAACCCCTTTTTCTTGTCAAACTTGTTGAACCATCTAGCTTAAATTGCAGTGCATCAATGACAGAAGAAGATGAGACACTGAGTCGCCCAGCAATATCTGACTGATTGAACAGTCCAGCATTTGCAGTCAAAGTGATCACACTGGATTTAAACGAGAAGTCATAAGTAATGTTTCCCATGGCAGGAATTAATATGTGATTCGATGGGCTGTTGATTCTGAATCTAGGAAGCTTAAGAGTACGTAGATCCTGTGGGACATGAAGGACTGGAAGCTCCAGAGAAGGTAAGACTAGTGTGTAAGATGGTACTGAAAAGCCAATGAATGGGACAGTGAATCCTGTTGTGCTTATTTCTTTGGGGAGCATGTAACCAAAGGCTGGCATCTCAGCAGTAAAAGGAGAAACCTCAATATTCACAATTGGAATGGTGTATCCTGGAATCCTGAAGACCCGAGGTAGTTTGTTCAGTGATGTCTGTACTTTGTATTTGTCAAATTTTGTTTTGGCTTCGTTATACGATTTTGTGAGAAAATCTAAAGCAGCGTTTCTTCCTTTCTCAAAATGCTTGTTGAAGAAAATGATGTATTTATTAAGTACTTCATGCACTGTTGCCAAAGGAAGTGGGATCAAGTGCCTATCTTTGTTTTTCTCATATTGAGCATTCAAATTTAAATCAAATGATTGTTTTGTAGTCTTCAATAAATCCTTCAGGCCTACCTGTTCCCACAGGGAATAATCTTTTAGCTGAGGAGTTTTGATTCCAGTATACGGAACATGAAACTGAGGAATGCTTAAAGGAATATTTAGGAAGTCAAGGTTGGCATCTCCACTCATTTCAATGTGAGCTTCAATTCGGTCATCATTATTGCCAGCAGACATGTTATGGGAATATCTGTACTGATTGC